TTTTTTTTTTTACTCCTTCCAGTAAGTGTAACAAAATAAACCCTTCCAAGTATTTATGGTAGGGAGGACAGTGAGTACTTATTTAAATGTTCTGAATAATTATCCATATCCCACTGAACTCTTATTCAAGAATTTTTCCTTATGGAGAAGTGAATTTCATCATAACTGTCTATTTTTATCATCTTTTCTTTTTCTTCAACTCTACTTTGATATTCTAGTGTAATTTTCTTAGTCTGATAATAAAAACTGATGACTATTTTTCACACTTTATTTCCCAATACTAACAAACCAAAACCAAACCAAAACCAAACCATTACTGTCGGGTCGTTTTGACTCATGGCGATACCCTGGGTTTCAGAGTAGAACTGTGCATCATAGGGGTTTCAATGGCTGCAATCTTACATAAACCAAAGGGCGGAGCAAATGGTTTGTGCTTACAATTCACCTAAAGTGGGTGTTCAAGCCCAGCCAGTGGCACCACAGAAGAAAGTCTTGATGATCTGCTTCCATGAAACGGACAGCCAAGAAAACCCTACGGAGCAGTTCTTCTCTGTAGCACATATGGCCTCCATGTGTAAGAGCTGACATGACGGTAACCGGTTTGGGTCCAGTCTTACATAAGTAGGTCACCAGGCTTTTCTTCTGCAGTCTTGCTGGGTAGAATCAAACCATCAACCTTCTGATGAGTAGCTGCTTGTACCTTTGAGGGAACTCTTAAAACAAAGGAAGTGGTAGATTACCCCTGGCATATTTAGGAAAGAGAAAAATGAGTATTTGTTTTTGGGAGGCAAGGTGGAAACAAAGAGGCCTGAAGATATAGTAAAATTAGGCACAGTGGGTATAACAGATGCTAGAATGGTAAAACACCCGTGGATGAAACATATGGGTAAAACAGGTGGAAGATCTGCTCTTAGAATGGGTATTCACTAAACACCTATTTAGTCAATAGACTGCAATTTCAGTAACATAGTTGATTTCTTGAAGTTTGAAGAATGTCACTGACATTTTGTTTTCTTCTTTGCCTGTTAATGTGGGAGATCTTGTCAGATTCTATTCTGTTTCCACAGAGTGAAATTATCTCTTACTGGGGATTTCCTAGTGAGGAACACCTAGTTGAGACTGAAGATGGATATATTCTTTGCCTTCACCGCATCCCTCATGGCAGGCTGAACTGTTCTGACAAAGGTATGGGTGTTTTCTGTGGGGAGGTAGGAAAGCTCTTAAAAGTAATTGCATTGCAGGAATTCACCCAGTTTTATAGCAGTAACCAAGTTCATGTTTAACTTGAAAACACTGAAATGGGTTTATTTTTAGACAAAAGTACTAAAAGTTTTGCATTTAAGCAAGGTGT